CAAGAAAAAGACAAGGGCCCATCTTGCCAGGGTCTTGTAGCCCAGTTCCGGTTCGGTCAGCTCGTCTCGTGGAAGTCAGGGAGCAGCATTCCCTTGGTCTGTCTCTTTGGCTCTCGCCTGTCGCCTCTCGCCTCTGGCCCCTTTCGCTACCCCAGACCCAGGTATCCAGTTATCCAAGTATCCAGGTACGGGGTGCCAGGTAGACAACCCAGCCGAGTGTGTGCAAGTGCAAGTGCAAGCTCAAAGGTAACAAAGCCCTGTACATATATCCAACCCTGCCTCTTCCCCAGCATCAAGCCATCCTCAGCTCTCACCACAGCTGCTTTTCACCTTGTCCAACAGTACTCACCTTACGATACCCGCCCCAACGACCTTGGACGACAGAAACACGACTCCACGATACCACACTTTTCGTCTGCATTGTTCCAACTACTGGGAAAGCTGGCCAGGTCTCCTCAAGCTTTCCCCTCCCCCCCAATTACGTGACCAACACCATTGCGGCGGAACCTTGCGGCGCGCCTCAACAACTTACACCACCAGCATTGCCCTTGGCGTCGAGGAACGCCTGCTGAACACCATCCGCCACAAACCACTATTCTACCTCCACCATCACCACCACAAGCACTACTCACCCAGCCATACGCACACGGTTTTTTTTTCGCGACAGCAACAGCAACAGCAACGACGGCCGCCTCTTCAGAGACCAGCACCGTTTCTTTGCTTGCCTAGACAGAGCTGCGCATCGACGCCGCGTCGTTCTCGTTTCTCTACTGCGATCTCGCCGGTGCCAGCGCCTAGCGACTGCACTGTCCGCCCCTTCAGGAGAGCGTCTTCCTTCGGAGTGGCTGCTCTGACGCATGTTGTCACCCAGGCGAGCCACGGGTACTACGACTACGACAGCAGGAGAAACCCGACGCAACTGAGGTGCTATGGATTTCGAAGGACTGAAGGATCGGAGGAACGCTGCCTTGCCACGGCTGGGCATATCATCGCAGCCTCCCGAAGTACCCAGTGAGAACACCATGGCCCCTCATTCCTCCCGCCAAGACCAGACACCCCGATGGCAAGGTGACTTGCCAGGGGAAGCCCAACTGAGGACTTCCCCGGCGGCCGCCTCGCGTTATGGTCCGCCCTACGACTCTAGAAACATTCTAACGCGGACACCAACAGGAGGCGGCGCTGACGTCTTGAGTCCTGGTTCCTCGACTTCTGGAGCAAACAGCGGCAGTTCGCAGCACAGCGCCCTCAGCGGGCTGTCCAGTCACTATTCTGCCCATGGATCGTGGCCGACGCCTAGCGCCCCAGCTTACACCCTCAGCTCCGTCTCCCCAACCCCAAATACCCTCACACATGCGCATACGCATCCATATGACCATAAGGCGAGCTCATATGATCCCGGGTCGTCCATGTACAACACCACCGCTCGCGCCCCCCATGACCCCTCCCCCACCTATGGCCACGCCCACAGCAGCCACGCCAACGGCCACAGCCAGCACCAGTTCCCTGGCAGCCTCTTCGGCCACGGAGGCGCCGCGTCAGGCAGCCTGCCATCCCACGGTCACGCTCACGGCCACACGGCGGCCGGGAGGCGGCATCCTGAATCCCCAGTCGACGGCCTCGACGCAACCTCCAACGCCCTTGAGCGCCGTGTCTCACGTCGATCCATATACACGGCCCCCTTCGACTCCAAGCTACTTCTCGTCGGCGTCCACGCCGCATCAGCCATCCTTCGGCTCGGCACCTCATCAACCTTCCTATTATCCCTCTTCGTCCAGTGCGCCCTCGCCCACCACGTCGACGGCTGCCTCCAGGGGCCTTCACGCCCTTGCCGGCCATCACTCTGGCATGGCGCCCCCTCAACCATATCGTCCGTTTCAGTATGGTATGCAGGTTCCATCCATGGGCGGCCCCATCATGTCCAACCTCAGCAATCCCAGTGGGCCGCTCTCCGTCATGCCAGGCATGAATCTGCCGGGATATGGCGGCCACCATCTGCAGCACATCTATGGTGCGCATCAGAATAACCCTCAGGAGCGCCCCTTTAAGTGCGATCAGTGCCCTCAGTCCTTCAACCGAAATCACGACTTGAAGCGACATAAGCGCATCCATCTGGCGGTCAAGCCCTTTCCTTGCGACCACTGCGACAAGAGCTTCTCTCGCAAAGACGCTTTAAAGGTTGGTCTCGCTCCCGTAACGCGTCGAGGCAGTGCAAACTAACACGTCTACAGAGGCATCGCCTGGTCAAGGGGTGTGGCGGAGAGAAGACGAACGGTACAGAAACAACACGCTCTCCGGGTGGGGGCTCTGATGGCAGCGAGAGCCCGCTGGCGCCATCTATCAAGAAGGATGACGAGTAGAGGAAGGAAGATGGTCGTTTTCACAAGCTGGTACGAGAGGAGCAGGGCCAAGACATGGACTTTATGTTATTCTCGTCTCTTAATATTTCTACTGGACGTTGCGGTCCGGTTGTCTTTTTTGGGTTTTCTTTCCCCCAATGATGGGGCAACGGACAGTCAAGGCAGCATTTGCGAGGTGGTTGGGTTTACGGTCTGGGAGGGGCGCCAGGACAAAAGGGAGGCATTGGGAATTTTACCTCTTTGGTCCAGACTTTGAAGTCTTCTGGGTTTTTTTTCCCACCCGGCTTGTTGTATTCTAATGATTCTGGTGATGGATGAGGTATTTAGAGTAACATGCATGCGGAAGAACTTTGTCGAAACAGCCCCCGATCACCAGACTCATCACTTTCATCGTGTTTTCGACGCTCGTGGCCGCCAGTATTTCACTCTGCATTCTGTTACGGCTTGTCCTGTGGAGGCCTGCGCAGCGCGTGGCCGGTCCAGGACTGAGAACAACAGGATCATGCTGATTCCAAGGCTTACTACCTGCGGCGCATTGGATCCGCCCTCGTCACCGTACCGGCACACGACCATGGGGCCCAGAGATATGGAGAACAGACCAGGCAGTGGGGTTTGTCCCCACGATTCTCTAAATTTTCCATCAAGGTTCAAGCCTGCAGGCTGGGTTGTCCGGCCTCACTGATGACGACCATTGGGGGACTGAAGAGAGAGATATAATGGTCGAGACGATCACCCGCAGTGATACCGACAAGCGGCCGTACCTGTAAATATGGTATAGGATAGCACAGCATAGTTCCGAACAAGTGCCGCCGCTATCGCCTCCACGATTGCGCCCGCAACTGCTCTGCAGCGAGTGATGTTCGGACGGCTGCCTTGGCTAATGCTGCAGAGAGAGGCCATCCATCCTCAGCAGGACGAAAAACCTCTTTGGTCCAGCAGACCGTACCTCCCCCCAAAGTCTCTTCTTCCCCCCTTCGTGCCACTACCGCGTGCGCCACCAGGGGAACGAGGGGGCGGCGCGAGCTAATTAGGGCAAGTGCTGGTGTTACAGCGAGAACGGAGGTGCCGGGCTCAGAATGAGGCCATTCTTCTCTTCATCGCGGTTCTAGCTCGCCGGGGCCAACGTAGTCATGGTCTCTTGTTGGGCTGCGGTCAGAGGCCGCTGGGAAGTTTCTCTCGTGCGCAAGTATCACGATCGCCCTCCTATTACCCCCCACCCGCCCGCCCTCCTCGCCTGACATGCCGTGCCTGTCTGGCCTTGGAGATGATGACATGGTGGACGGGGGAGGCCCGAGAGACCGGTCAGTGGACGTGCACTCCAGGTAAGCCTCAGCCCAGGCTGAGAACCTGGGAAATGGGAGGAGACCGAGGGGGGCAGAGGCTGAGAGAAAAAAAAATGCAACAACCTCTCTCGCTATCTCCCTCTCTCAGCCGTTATTGGCGTTTGAATTGCTGAGGCTGTCTCTGATCCCAGGGTCGGCGCCCACGCGCCCGGAATCGAGACGAGGCAAGGTGTCTTCTCCGCTTCAAACCCCTCCTTCTTTTACTCTCGCCTCCGACGGACAAGTTCTCTCTCTAGGCCTCTCTACCTTGGGTACTTACAGTCATAATTCGGAAGACGAATTTTCTTCCCAAGTGATCAGCAGCCCTCGTTCCCCCCGTCCCGCCCTCCGATACCTTTCATCTCTCCAAAGGCGCCCCTGATGCACTACGACACACGCTGCCCCCTGATGATCGGCATTCTTTCGCTTGTCCCTTCTGAATTCGACTCTTCCGTTCTCCAGCAGCACGCGGTGCGGTAGAAAGATGGGGAGAAGGGCCAGGGGGGGTGGAGGGAGCTAGGGAAACAGTGGGCTTTCTGACCCCCCCCCCCCCCCCCCCCCCCCTCTCTCAATCCTCAACCCGGGGCGCGCCCCCCTGCCTACTGCGGCTGATGAGAAAGGGCGAGGCAGTATTTCAACGGAGGGTTTTTCTGGTGAGGCTGCAGGGAGGTTTACAGAATGATACTGTCAAAAGGCAGGTAGCGAGCACGGAATGGGAACATGGTAGGACTGAAATTGAGAGCATGAGGAAGGGTCCTCCATGCCTGTGCCTGGGCGTACGCCGCGCCGCGGGCTGATCTGGCCGAACCACCACTACCCCCCTCCTTTTCTTACTATGTACTCGCCTCTCTTTCTCTCTTCAAGTCCCTTGTCTGCTTCGACACCGCACCCCCCGAGCTTTTGGAATACCCACACCCACACTTGGTGCGTCTACTCTCGCCTCCGAATGCGCCCTGTCCCGCTAGCTAGTAGCTAGCTAGCAGGCGGGTGAGAGGACCACTCGACATGTCAGTTGCTCTCACGCCCCGGTGCCCGCCCACTCGTCTCGTGGCAGGGCGCCCTAGCCTGGGCAAGCGTGTTGACGGTCGCCTTGCTCTAGTTTCATTGTCGGTTAATTGACCAACCCCGTGAATAGGGCGGCGACCGTCATTCCTTTGTGCGAGAGAAGAGGGGAGGGGGGTGTCTGTGTTTGCTTTCGCTTTCGCTTGTCTAGTCTTGTCTCGTCTCGTGTGGTCTGGCCTTGTCACGAGTCCTCTCCTTTCCGTTCGTCTGCCCAGCAGGCGTCAGGCGGTCGAGACGTTAGTGCCAGAGCCAGAAGCAGAGAAACGTGTATAGAGTGGGGTGGGGTGTGGGAGAGAGAGAGAGAGAGAGAGAGAGAGAGAGAGAGAGAGAAAGGGAGCTATTGACAGACGGGTAGGGAGAGGCTGGGCGAGACAGCAGATGACAAGCAGGCCAAAGCAGAGAAGGCGAGACAGAGCCTCGACTTCCCAATAGTCTGCATGCCTAGTCGTTGCTGTCGGTGTGTACCATGTATGCGTCTGTATGTATGTGAGCCACCAAGCGGTCAAGCGCGTTTGCCCTTTTTCAGCTGAGGTTGAAATGTGTCCGGGACTGCCGTTCCTTCAATGGGATTTCTCATTCCATATGGCGCAGAATACACACACCTGGCGTCCCGCTCGGCATTCGGAGGGTTCTGTCAGGCTGATGGCCAGGCCCAGGCGTTTGTCAATGACTTGAAGCCGTTTGCTGGGGTGCAGGGAGCCAAAGATTGGCATGTTCTGTGCATCGTTCGATGGGCCTAGTGTTGCTGCTCCTTGGCTTTGTCAGGCCCTCCTTTCGTCGTGGACCACATCCTGACAAGGAGTTGTTGAGGTCGTTGGGTTGAGCTTGTTTCTTCCTGCCCGCATCCGGAGACAATGCATCGAGAAGTAATTCCAATCTTGCTGACGTCGTTAATTCTGAATCTCCGTCACCGAGAAGAGAGAGAGGACAGCAGGGGCAGAGTCCTCCAGCATTCCGGGTCGGGTTAGACAGAGGGCGTGCTGCTATGGGCCTTGCCGAGCAGCGGACCATGCACTTCCAGGGCGAGTTGCGGAAGGCTGCTGACGATGCTGGCCGTGGCGGTGATGGCCCTGGTGGCACTCGCGGCACTTCGACCAAATGTGGTGGCTGTGGGAAACGCCTTAGCCCGCAGCCGTCTTCGGGAAGGGGTCAACCAGCTGGAAACCGCCCCATTGGACATGCCTGCCCGACAGTGATCGTGGCGTTGGGTGTCCATTGTGACCGTTGTCCGTTGTCCATTGTCTGGCGTTCAGACGTCAGGCACGACGACGATCGTTCCTGCCTCTTGTTGTAGAGTGATAAACCGAGTAGGCAGGCACCTTCATTGTCGCGCCTTCACTTCTATTATTGCCTGACACAGATGGACCTTCCTACGCCGCCAGTGTGTGTCTTGTCGACAATATGTAACGGGACGCTCTCTTGCCCGCATCATGTCTATGCCGTCACCCGGGCCCGTCATGTCGACCCTCCATGCTGGTAACAACATGCCTCCCCCAATCTCCTCCCACCGACTGCAGAGCACGCCGTGTTGATTTTTGGCCTTATAGCTAGCCCTGGCACACTGCCGCCAAGTGCGTCTCACGTCCTACAGATTCTCCTGGTCGGCCAGCTGGTCATCGTCGGCGTTATTCTGGTGCAGGGTCACCATCTTCTCCAGGCTTGGGCACGGTGGTGACACTGGACTCACGTCGATCTTTCAGGAGCATTATCGCTCGTGTCACCCAATACTCGTCTCAGGCGGTCAGGCGGAAGCGGGCACGAAAATAGTCTCATTGGCTGGCTTCGACGCGTTTCATTTGTCTGTCCTACGTGCTCACCAGGGCTGCTCTTCCGTGGCCCGAACGGCAACTCGAGCAGGAACGTTCACGCAGCCTCAAAGGTCTCCTTGGTAATGTTGGTAATCCCGAACTGACTGTCAAGTTGCTATATACGTACGGTCACACTAATACAAACAAGGTTCTCCTTGCTCCTTACGCATGTCTCGGGCCTGTCGCCGAGAACCTCTTGAAGCTACAAGCACAGGAGCGTAGCATACCTCGCACTGAGAAGTAGCGGTTGGCGTCACCGGCGTGGGCAGCAACATGTTGAGCACGGCAGGAATATTATCTTCGGAACCCGGCAGTGTTGCCAACGCCAATGCATCCCATAGGGGCCATAATCTCACTCCCCTTCTCATTGCCGGCGAGGCATCACGTCGGAACTTACAGCCCACTCCCACTGAGCAAAGGGACAAAGGGCCTTCAAGGGTGTGGTGGAGACCCTGACAACATGGACAACAGGTCGTCAAAATAGACTCGGGAACCTGCCTCGACCGCCGCCCCTGATCCCGGCCCCGCGGTTTGGGTTGTGTGCAGACGGGCCGACGGGGGCAGCATATGGATGGGCCTGTGAGCCACCAGGAACCCGGCCTGCAGCCATCCGCGATCACTTCCTTACTTCACGCCCCCCCTCCCCGCGTAGCCATGGCGGCTTGACGCAGATCCGGGACCTGGATACGGAAGGGACATGTACAAGATCTACACCCCTCCCCCCCAGTACAACGGCTAACGGGAGTGGCGGCTGCTCTGGTATCGGATCGTGAATCGCTGCAGCACGCCTCCTCCAAGGATGCTAGCATTTGGACGCACGACACCATCGGGGAGAAGGGGATGGGTGCCGATGCGCAGGGGGAAAGTGTCCCTCTGCTGGTGACATCGCTGGGTGGCTGCAGCATGTCTGGTAGGACGAGACAGTCAGCACTCCTAACCGGGTATTCAGCGCCAGACCGGTAGGAAAACCAGGTCATACGTTGCGGAGATCTCACTTTGCCAGAGAAATCATGGTTTGCGCCAGGCATTTTCGCTCAGGGTCGGGCCAGAGTTCACCGGGTATCCTTGCACTGCAAAGGATTTCGGCAATGTTTCCGAAGACATATCGTGGACCCGCTGAGGCGATGCAACCCTGCCAGCACGGCGCAGATGGAAAAGCCCGGCAGCCCTGTACATTTCCGATGCCTCTGCCGGCTAAAGTGTCTGTGATTTACAGGGGGCCTGCCAACAACATGTTACGTTCCAATCCACACAAGCTGGTCATTCAGAGAGAAATCCGAGACTGTAACGTCCCCGTGACGTGTAACGTTAGTTCTGAGGTAGGGGACTTCAAGACCAGCGCAGGATATATGAACGTGGCACCTAGTCTGTCCCGAATGTTACCCAATCTTCATTTCACAGATCTCGTCGCGACAAGTCGAATCCACAGGACAACATGATGAGTCCGCAGGTACTCTGGGAGATCAACGCCTTTCGACAGCCCTTCAACATGCCGTTGCTACGCAACTTGTGCTAGGATCTCGTGAACTGGTTCCCACCTAGGAGGCAACCGGTGGGCTTCGTTGGCGGAGTGGAACAAGGTGCTCAAAGCGCGTTCTTCAGCAAGATCGATGTGCTTTTCTTTCCAACCATGGCGTGCGACAACGAGTTGACGCTATATTTCCAATCCTCGCCATCGACTTCAACGGCGCGATTGCACCAGGATTCGTCAATCGGAAGGCTCGCTCCCTCGGTGAAGCGGAAATGCATGGGTTCTTTGAAGTTTCTGGCCATGGGCTCATGTCGCCGGGGATTGGGATTCGAATTGGCCAGCGGCTCGGACAAATTACGTGATTCTGACCATGAACGATGCTTCCTGCACGATCTACGAGGACGCGACGCCGTTGTTCCTTTAAGCTTCGGCGACAGAATGGCAGCGAGGAGTGGACTATTTGGGAAGCTCCTCAACAGACCTCGGCCTAGCGAGCAAGTGCAAACTAGCCTCGAGCATCCGGTACTGGGTTGTATGTCATTGGGGGATCCATGATGATTTTGCCCTGACAGGACGATTTTTTGTGGGCAAACAAGCATTACATGGGATCCGCACCGAAAACCGTGCACGAAGTGCGTTGTAAAAACCAGACAACTCTGATTTCGATTCGAATAGATTCAATTTGGGATGTCTCACAGTTTGACGAAGGAGGCAATTACAACGAGACGGGACGGTCATCAGGGGCAAAGGCGATGCTCTCTACCTAGACTCTCTAGCTAGAGGATGTAAACCATGCGTGGATGTCATCGCATCGAATGGGCCATACGGCGGGATGCTTGCGATTGGTTGGCACTGTTGTCGGAGGAGAAGCGTAGGGAGACTAGTGCCGATCGATGAGATGATCAGACTAAAAAAAGGAGACCGGAGTCCTGTGCATGAGGCCCAAAAGATACTGAAGACTGTTTCAAGAAACAATCTGATGCTGTTCGATTACGATCTAAGTTTCTGGCCCGAACAGTCTGTTCATGAGGCATGACTGAAGAGAGCGGTTTTGCGTGAACTGCTCGGAAGGCTGGGATCAGTGTTCTACACTGAAAACACACTTGAACTATGGCTTATGGAGCTCGTTGTTGCTCATGATGTGGACTTGTGTCATGGCAGCTGTTCCTCATTGCTGCATGGAGTTGAGGCTCTGAGTATCTACATTTGTGGCCAACGTGGAAAGAATGTATCGGTACATTCAGTCAAAGTCCCTGGGCGACGCTAAAGTTGCTCATCTACCAATGACGTGGCTAGGATTTGCACCCCGCGAGGTCCTTATCTTGGCTTTGCCCTTCAGACTCCACTGGAGCGCGGCCAAGGGAAGGGACACTGGAGTCCTGGAGTACAGCACCTTCGAGGTACCACCCCGCCTCCCATCCGGGTGCCTTCAAATAGTCGAGATCACCCATGCTCAAACGTTTCCTGGTTCAGACACCAGACGAGACCAGACCACCAATTCCAGTTTCTTGCGACGAGACGACCAGGTCGGCCTGCCAGGAGCCTCCTCCCTCCCCGGATATACCTCGAGCCTTGTTTCGGCGACGAGCGCCACGTTCTGCGTCTGAAGATCTCACGCAAACCTTCTCATCGTCGCAACGTATATCTTCGAGGCCAGTCCACCCTCCGACACAACCTCGAAAGCCTCGTGCTGAGCATATACACACAAACTCGACTGTGACGTCCAACACCGACGAGCCGGCATCGTCGTTTCTTTTTACCTTGTTCTTCCTCTCGTGATACCCTCCATTCGACACCCTCCCCACCACCCACCTCTCACCATGGAAGCCCGAGCTCCACACGGCGACATGGCTCACGATGCCACGACGGCCGCCAGCACCGACGGCAGCAGCATGGGAGGCCACGAGATGGGCATGATGGTCGTTTTCCAGAACATGATCCAGACGTCCCTCTACAGCGAGGCGTGGACGCCCAACAGCGTCGGCACGTACGCCGCCACCTGCATCTTCCTCATCGTGCTCGCCTCCCTCCTCCGCGTCATGCTCGCCGGCAAGGCCCTCCTCGAGCAGCGCTGGCTCGACCAGGAGCTCAAGCGCCGGTACGTCGTCGTCGCCGACAAGAACACCCTCGGCCAGCAGCTCTCGTCCGACAGCCTCGCCAAGCACATGGTCATCTCGGAGAACGGCCGCGAGGAGAACGTCACCGTCGTGCAGCGGAAACACGGACTCGCGAGGCCGTGGCGCTTCTCCGTCGACCCCGTCCGCGCCCTCCTCGACACGGCCATTGCCGGTGTCGGCTACCTCCTGTGAGTGTCCCCTTGCGCCCCTGCACGGGGTGTGCGTCGCCCCGAGAGCGAGCGCTAACGCGGCATGATAGCATGCTGGCAGTCATGAGCATGAACGTCGGCTACTTCCTGTCTGTCCTGGGTGGTGTCTTCCTCGGCAGCATTGCTGTCGGTCGCTATGCCATTCACAGCGAGCACTAGAGTGGTTGCGTGGTGGGTGGCCATGACAACATGTTATTTCAGATGCCAGCCAGCCAAAAAAAGAAAAGAAAACAACAAGGCATTCTTTCGAGCGACATTCTTCCCGTCCCTTCGTGCATTCTTCCGAAGCATTGCATGTAATCCTGTGATGCGTGCCCTCGTAATCACAATTCCCATGGCAAAGCCCTCTTGCGTCCCAAACACGTACAATCAGGAGAACCAGCAGATCAGTATGAGAAGCAGATGAAACACGCCGTGATCCCTCTGCCTTTTTCGCGTCGAACCTTGAAGCCCTGCCCGTGTCTGCACTTCTCCCATGTCCAAAGCGGCCGGAACCTTCAAGTACCGGTACCTACGCTCGTAACATCGTCCGTGGTCCGTGCAGAAACCTTCTCAAACCCGCTCATATCAGATCCACCCCTGAGAAGCCAACCATGCATGCACGTGACAACCCGCACCCCATCTCACTTTGTCATCATGTCAGCACCTCGTCGAGGTCAAGCCACTCCAGTCAGCCACACCCCCTCTCCAAGACGATGCAAATGTGGCTGCACCCATGCCCGTCCCCCGATGCACGCCCACATCCGACGCGGGCGCCATCACAAACGAAACAGCCGCGTCCCAGGCCAGCAGAAGAGAGAAGAGAGAAATACACGTGCACACATTGACATATCCACGCAAAATGCTGTGCTGCGATCCATTGTCACAATCCTATTTATCAAAAACTGCTCCAATCCATCTCCACCCTTCCAGCGTGCGCGCCCCTCTCTCTCCCCAGAAGGGAGATCAGCCGTCTGCCAACCTTTGTAACCCCCATAGCCATTGCCCAGACTTGCCAGAGTACCATGTAGGTGCCCTTACCGTCGTAAGCCCCCCCCTCTTCTCGGCCCGCCACCTTGTTGTGCGGACCGCCCATGCCCGATACGTAAATGCCCCAGGCGCACTATCCCGTCCCAGGACGTAGTTCAATGCGCACCATGTCCATCACTGCCTACTTGATCCGTGAACCCAATCGAACCCAATCTGTCGGGTTCGTCGAGATCAGGTCCGAACCCTACACATGAGTGGATGGCGCGTCGTCAATCACGCACGCTGGATGTTCAGATCTGCGCATGTCTCGTCTCGAGCGATTGGTACCTAGCGCAGGGTCGCGACTTTTCGGCAGTGACCACGTCTGCAGGGCGACCGAGGCAGGCTTTCTGTTTCAGTGCATAGTTTTGTTTTCTTCAGAAGACCATTTTTTTTGGGCAGAAATGGCATCCTCCCCAGACCGGGTATCGCCGTTAATCCTACACGTTGGAGAGAGGGATGGCCTCTCCTGGCCGTAGTATATCATCAGACCCAACTCCGATATCGTCCCTCCCTTCCACCTTGCCGACCCAAACGACCCAACCACCGAGAGGAGAAAAAGAAACAAGCTGGCCTCTGGGCCGCGGGCATTGTGCTCCGTTATCCGCGTCCCAGACCTCCGCAGCATCGGCCTCGATCGGGCATCCTCTCGTCATCTCACCCGAGCTCCCCTCCTCCCGCCAGGTCATCTACTGATCTGCCGAATCCACAACCTCCATCGCGTCCACGAGCAGACGCTGTGGGGTCGGGCCTGAAGATCGGCGGATCCTTGAAGAAGCCTTGCAAGGCTGACCGATATTGGAGCAGACGGGACCTTGCAGGACGAGAAGAAGAAATGCAGAAAAAGCGAGGATGCGTAATGCAAACAAAAAGACACCTGTGCGAACGCCATACCGTCGGAACCTCGCATATTATGTGGGCGTTGCCTCGATGTCCAGGCGGTACACAACATCCCAGATACTCCGGAATGCCGTGCACGCGCGGGCTTCTCAGCGGGAAAGCATCCACTCGTCCAAGATATCTTCAATCATGACTGATGGGACGAGTGCTGAGGAAGTCCGCCTTGCGCCATGGGGTAGCCACCGCGCTGCTGCTGGTTGACGTAGCCGCCATAGGCAAGGTTCGAGGGGTCCATTCCCATATTGGCGGGCATGTAATTGGGCGGCATGTGAGGAGCGCCGGGCATGCCCTGCTGACGACCGGCCTGCGGGGGAAGATGCTGCTGGGGAGGCTCCTCAGGGGACTCAACCTGGTTGCCGTCGTCGACACCGTTCTCGCCGCCCTGGCTGGGTTCCGGAGCGTTCAGACACGCCTATCACACCAATCAGTCATTGTTCGCGCGACAGCGTGCTCATGGGCTGTGCGCATCGCAGCATACCTGAATCAAATTCTTGCCTTCGGCCTTAGTCACGAGAGGCTGGAGCTTGGGTGTCGTGAAGGTGTAGACCAGGCCTGTTTCGGACACAACAAGCAGGAGCACCTGAGTGCCGGTGAGGACGGATAGCTCGTATGCCTGCGAGGTCGATCGTGTTAGCGATTGCGGGGGACAACAGCGGAAATACTAAACGCGACAAGTGGTCGACGCGCCCGTGGTGGCGGGCTTGGGTGTTCTGTCGGTTGTGGCTTCTTACCTTCTTCATAATGCCGGCCTTGCGCTTGGAAAAGGTGATGTGGCGTCTCGATTTATCGTTGATAAACTTGATCTCAATCTTGCGACGCTCACGACCTCCCTTCTCGTCATCGTCGTCGTCGTCGTCGGCGGCGCTGGGGCGCTGACGCTTGACGCCACGGTTCTCGCCGACGCTGCCATTGCCGACAGAGTGCGCCTCGTCGAGGTCGCCGGGCGAGCCCTGGTCGTGCTGATCAGTGATGTCGGCCATGGCTGTCAATTGCTTGTTCGCAAGGTATCACGAGGCAAAGAAAGACAGTTTGGTGGAGATGCTCCTTTGAGCGTTGTGCCGATGGATCTATGCTTGTTCTGGCGACAAGCGGAGAGGCTGTGTTGGTATGGATGTAGGTTTCTTCTGTCGCAGAAACCTGGTTGGCTGTTGCGCTGAATCGAGTCTGGTGG